AACCAGGTGTTTTAGACAGGCACAGTATCACAGTTTCACAGGGTTAAACAAACGCAACATGAAAGAATGCAGCACATCTTCGCATCATTAAACCAATGTTCCACGGCATAAACAAATGTGACACATCTTAAACCATATTCCACAGCATGTGTCAGGTGTGGGTAGGTGCCTTAGAGGCAAGAAGAGAGTGTTGGATGGATGCCTTGGGTCATGGAGTTCTAGGTTCCAGAGGTTCCCAGCACCATGTGGTTGTAACCACCAAACCATCTCTCTAAGCCCCTATCATGTTTGTTGCTGTTGTTTGTTTGAGATCGTCATGTTTTATAGCCCAGGCTGGCCTTGGACTCAGAGTAATCCTCCTGCCTTTTCCCAAATGTTGGAATTACAGGTGGAGGCAGCACCCCACCGGGCTATTTAGTGAGAATGTTATTTTCAGTCAAGACTGGGACAGGAGGAACCAAGGCTGTATAACCCAGCTTGTCTTTTTTCTCCTTCAACTCGAAGGTTTTTCTTTTACCAGTTTGCCACGGAAGTGTTCAGTCCTGAAGCCTCATTTGGTTACAACCTGCACACTCTTCTCTCACACCCTCCCGCTCTGGCTTTCTTCTACTGGGGGTTTGTTTCTTCTTACTTTTCATTGGAAAGCACTTGAAAGTTACACGGGGTCTAAAAAGTTGCCAGAGTAGTACAAGAAACTCCCATGAGCTCTTCTAGCCCGTATCGTGATGTTTGGCAATGGTCTCAATCATGTCCTTGACGCGAAAGGACCTGGTCCAGGGCCACACATACACTGGCTTGTTCCGTTTCTCTGCTCCTCTTCAACCCAGAGTAGTTTCAGAGTGACTTCGTACCCCATCCTTCAGCTCGGCTTGTCTGCCGTTCCTGATGACTGTGATGAGACTGTGTATTTTTTGGTAGGATTGTGCCACCCCCACGGGCAGTCAACGCTGTCAGTTTGCCCTAGAATGATGCTAACACAGTCTGCTGCCAAAGCAACATTGTTTTTCTTTTGGAAATTAAAAACTGCTTTGTAGGAGGAGGACCTTTGGGGCCATGCAAATATCCTGTTTCCTTTCCAACTACTGCTTACCAGTTTGGGCATGTTTCATGCCTGGGTTATTACTATCACAGTTGACATGTAGCAATTTTCTAATGCCATCGAACTGTTTATGCTCCATAGTTGGCACTTGACTTTAAAGAGGAGCATGTAGACAGAGGACATGGATCAGTGGTGGACCCTGTGTTCTATGCTCAACACCACACAAAAAGAGAATTCTCCTTTTCATGGATCTATTCACTTTTCTCACCATTTATTTATTTATTTTAAAGATCTGATTGTTTTTAATTATGCATGTGTCTATGTGATTATGTGCTGATGAGTGCCTGAGGAGGCCAGAGATGTCCAATTTCCTGGACTGGATTTACAGGCCATTGTGAGCTACCCATTGTGGGTGATGGGAACTGAACTTGGTTCCTCTGCAAGAACAGTTCATGCCCTTAACTGGTGAACTATCTCTCCAGCCCCCCACTTCCCTATTCACATCACTGGGGATTCATGTTTTATTCAGTGGAATGGAATGAATTATCATCATCAATTTGAATGCTCGAATTGTTCCAGATTTGGCCAGTGGAATGCTCACCCGTGCTGCCTCCTGCATCCTTTTGACATATCCCATCAGTGTATAGAACTTCCTCATTATCTGGTGAGATAAGATGCTGTAGACTCCCTTGGACCTTCCATCCCCAGTCCTGGAACCAGCCATTTCCCCAAAGACCAAAGAGAATGGTTTTTAGGTACCAAGATTTGAGCACATGCGTGTGTTCAATGCTAAAACCATCCTAGCAGACAGAACAACACAATGGGTCAGTGGTTCTCAACCTTCCTAAATGCTGCGACCCTTTAATGCAGTTTCTCATGTTGTGGTGACGCCCCAACCATACAATTATTTTTGTTGCTACATCATAACGGTAATTTTGCTGCTTTATGAATCGTAAGAAATATATTTTTGAAGATAGAGGTTTGCCAAAGGGGTTGTGACCCACAGGTTGAGAACTGCTGCAAAGGGCGTGTGTATAATATTTGAGAAAGAATGCAAAGATATTTGTAGAGCTCCACAAGAGGTCTTTCATTGTGAAAAAAACATGTATGTGGTATCGAACAGTTTTATTAAAAGAATAGAGGACTCATTTGCATGAGAGAATGAAATAATTGATTTTCACAGCCTAATGTGAGTTAAGAGAGTGGCACATCCCATCATTTCTACCCAAAGGTGCTGAAAGTGTGAAGATCACCTCCCTGTCTTAGGTCCTGCTGCTGGTGGCTCTGTGTCTACCCCTTACATCCCATAGGTCCCCCAGAGTGGAGCCCTTATGTATGGGAGAGCTCACCCATAGGGGAGGCAGGGTGGGTAACACTCGGCTAGTCCTTGAAGCACTGATAAAATGACCACCTATTAGTGGGGAGGAGAGGAGCTAGTTCATTCTGTTCATGTATTAGTCACATGTAGCAGGGTGGGGAAGGACAAAAGGGACTTCCAGGAAACAGATCCCTCTGGAAGGAGGCTCAAGATTTTCTCAATTTGGGGCACTTGAGATTGGGGGTGAGAGGACGTATTGAGGTTGTGACTAACAAGATCAGAGACACAAGTAGGTTACATCCTGGTCCTGTGAAAGGCAATGTCAGGTGGAATGGGGTGTTGGGCCAGGACCCGGATAAAGTCCGAGGCTGTGTCAACAGTCAGTGGCCACTGTTGAAGCTCTTGGTTTTGAAATGCTTTGAAATGCTTGTTCTTTGTGATTCAAAGAATCAGGGTGAATAAAAAGGTATCATGGAGGGGAAGGTTTTATTGTAGCTACGAGGGAGAGAACAGTCAGGGGCACCTGGAAGAGCCCAGAGACAGAGAGAGACAGAGAGACATAGACAGAGACAGAGACAGAGGTGGAGAGAGTGAGAGAGAGAGAAGGAGAGAAGAGGAGACCAAGAGGACCAAGAGAGCTCGTGGGAACCAAGAGAAACAAGAGGGCGTGCAGCCAAAGCGGTGGAGTTATAGATGCAGGGAAGCCTGCCCCTAGGCTGGAGAGGTTTAGGGTAGGGGGTAGGATGAGACCTGCTAGGAGGAGCCACAGGTACTGAGCAGCAATTCTGTTGGGACCCAACACAGGGTAAATTTCCCTAATTTTTTATTTTATTCTTGCTTTCTTTAAACTTGATGTGGTACCTAATTTTGTGTGTGTTTAAAGTGAGTGTATATACTGCATTTGTAATCAGGGGGAAATGGTGGCGCATGCCTTTAGTCCCAGCACTTGGGGAGACAGAGGCAGGTTGATCTCTGTGAGTCTGAGGCCAGCCTCATCTACATAGTGAGTTCCAGGAGATCCTGTCTCAAAAAAAAAAGTGAAACAGTAGTGTCTTAGGGTTTCTATTGCTGAGAAGAAATGCCATGACCACGGCAACTCTTATAAAGGAAAGCATTTCATGGGGTAGCTTAGAGTGTCAGGGGTTCAGTTGGCAGTGTGCAGGCAGATGTGCTGGAGAAGGAACGGAGAGGGTTTTTTTTTGTTTTTTTTTTTTGGTTTTTTTTTTTTTTTTTTTTTTCGAGACAGGGTTTCCCTGTGTAGCTTTGCGCCTTTCCTGGAACTCACTTGGTAGCCCAGGCTGGCCTCGAACTCACAGAGATCCGCCTGGCTCTGCCTCCCGAGTGCTGGGATTAAAGGCGTGCGCCACCACCGCCCGGCTTTGTTTTGTTTTTTGTTTTAAGAGTTTTACAAGTTGATATGCAGACAACAGGAAGTGGTCTGTTTCATTGGGCATCGCTTGAGCATATATGAGACCTCAAATCCTGCCTGCACAGTGACATACTTCCTCCAGCAAGGCCACACCTCCTAATGGTGCCCCTCCCTTTGGGAGCCATTTTCTTTCAAACCACCATAAACAGTTAAAATGAACTAACAGGGGCTGGAGAGATGGCTCAGTGGTTAAGAGCATTGGCTGCTCTTTCAGAGGTCCTGAGTTCAATTCCCAGCACCCACGTGGTGGCTCACAACCATCTGCAATGGGATCTGGCGCCCTCTTCTGGCATGTAGGCAGAACACTGTATACATAATAGATAAATAAATTTTTTAAAAAATGAACTAACAATGTGGCAAATATATGACAATTAGACACTTAAAAAAATACTTAACCTAGATATTCAGTGGGAAACCAAATTAAAACCAGAAGGAGATCATACTATATACCTGTCAAATGACGAGACCATTAAACCCTAGGGCAGTGTTCTCAACCTCCCTAATGCTGTGACCCTTTAATGCAGTTCCTCATGTTGTAGTGACCCCCACACACATAAAATGATGTCCATTGCTACTTCATAACTGTAATGTTGCTATCTGTGTTTTCCTATGGTCTTAGTCTACGCCTGTGAAAGAGTCATTCGACCCCAAAGGGGGTCGTGACCCACAGGTTGAGAAGCACTGCCCTCAGAAGCTGCGCTGGTGAGGAGTCAACAGGAAGCTTTCTTATGCTGTCTTGAAAACAGCGTGACAACAGGTTCCAACAACTCCTGGTGACTTAGCCGTCCCCCTCTGGGTCTTACCCAGGTCCTAGAAAAAGTCAAAGTCACACATGTACTGGTGCTGTACAGACATGCATGAAGGCAAAACACCCATACACATTAAATTAAATTAAATTAAAAAAAAAAGAGAGACATGGTATTTTAGCTTGTAATCCCAGAGCCAAGGAGGCAGGGATAGGTGGATCCCTGTGCCTCACTGGCCAGCCTACCTGGGTAACTTCAGGCCAGTGAGAGACCTTGTCTCAAAAAACCCAGGTGGAGCCGGGCGGTGGTGGCGCACGCCTTTAATCCCAGCACTCAGGAGGCAGAGCCAGGTGGATCTCTGTGAGTTCGAGGCCAGCCTGGGCTACCAAGTGAGTTCCAGGAAAGGCGCAAAGCTACACAGAGAAACCCTGTCTCGAAAAAAAAAAAAAAAAAAAAAAACCCAGGTGGATGCTCGATTTGGCAGCAGATACACTAAAATCGGAATGATACAGAGATTAGCGTGGCCCCTGCACAAGGATGACACAGGAATTAATGAATTGTTCCATATTTAAAAAATAAAAACAAACAACAACAACAACAACAAAACCATGGTGGGTAGTGGCTGAAGTCTCCACAAACACATGCACCGATAGATGCCTGAACACACACAAAGAAAAAGTTTACAGCCACGCACAAAAATCTATAGACCAGTGCTTGTCATGACGTTGCATGTAACATCCAAAGACAACCATTTATAACTTCAGTTCCAGAAGGATCTGGTGTCCTGTTGGACACTAGGCACACACGTAGTGCATGGACATACATGCTGTCAAAAACTCATGCACAGAATGAAATAGGTCTAAGAAAAGAAAAACAGTGGTTCCTGAGGGCTGCTAGTTCGGTGGGAGAGAGCCTTCCTCCCATGAGGCCCTGGGTGTGATCCCCTCACGAAGATTTCCTTTGGTGGGGGTGGTGGTACATGCCTACAATCTTAGCACTCAGAGCATGAGGCAGGAAGATTTTGGAGTTGGAGGCCAGCTTGAGCTACATAGCAAGATCCCGAGGTGAGGTAATCTTTATTGCTTATAGATTATTGCCACAGCCATCATCATGTGTGTAGTCAGACTTTTCTGTCCTGCCTATCAACCTCCAAAAAATGATAGGTTGACTTAATTATGAAAGCTTGGCTGGTAGCTTAGGCTTGTTTCTAACTAGCCCTTATAACTTAAATTAACCTATTTCTATTAATTCACTTTCTGCCTTGTGGCTTTATTGTCTTTACTCTGTACTGCCCACACTGCTTTCCTGATTCCTCTGTGCCTGGCTGTGACTCTGCCCTTCTTCTTCCCAGCGTCCTCTGTGCCTGGAAATCCTGCCTAGCTATTGGTCATTCAGCTTTTTATTAAACCAGTCAGAGTGACATCTTCACAGTGTACAAAAAGATTATTCCACAACAATGTGTTCATTTGCAATTCTTAAGACAAAGATTGGGGTGCAGTTTACTATTGAATGGTGAGGTGGTTGGGAAAGGGGAGGGGAGTCCTGGCAAGGGCAAGAGAATATGTTTTTGTTGCTTTTGTTTTCTCTGCTTCTTGAATGCTAGGCTAACAGCCCGGTGTACCACCGTCATAGGCTGGTAGACTGTGTTAAAGAGTACTATGTTAGTCAGCTTTCCTCTACTGTAACAAAACACTTGAGACAGTCAACTTAAAAACAGGAAAAGTTTATTTTTGAATCACAATTTCAAAAATCAGACTGGTAACTGAAAGGACCAAGCAGACGCCATAACAGGCTGCTCAGTCTTCTCTCAGAGATCAGGCCTCAATTTCAGCTTCTGGGAGGGCCGTGAACAAAAGACATAGTCCTTGCAGTAGCTCCCTTTCTGCACGTACTCTGACTGCTCAAGGTTCAGCCAGTTGTTTTCTGTCTGGGACCCCTGACCAACTTAGAGCTACGTGCATGGATCAATGTGAACGTGCTAGACCAGCCAGCCTCCATGGCAGCTCAGAGACAGAGCCTGGGCCCCAGAGTCAGTCCCCACAGTCAATACCTGCTAGGCCAGTCAGCATCCATGGCAGCTCAAGGACAGAGCCTGGGACTGGTCCAGGCCTGCCCCCAAATGATAACTATAACCCCCAACCAGTAAGTTCGAAGGTTACACATCCTCACCCAATCATATGATGCAAAGGCTTGTACCACCCTGCTTGCGGCTTTTCCCTTTAAAAGCCCCTCACCCTGAGAGCTCAGGGCCATCCTCCTCCACCCGCTGTGTTGAGTGATGGACCCGGACCAAGCCAGGGCTTGCTGGTTATCAATAAACCCCTGTGTGTTTTGCATCAGATATCGGCTCTGTGGTGGTCTTGCTCATGGGTCTTGAGACATGGGCACAACAGAACCATAGAAAGAAACTGCTGTGGTGGTATTGTGTTCCCCAAAATATTGTACACCCTAATAAACTTATCTGGGGTCAAAGACAGAACAGCCACTAGATACAAAGGCTAGAAAATGGTGGCGCTCACACCTTTAATCCTAGCATTCCAGAGGCAGAAATCCATGTGTTCAAGGATACAGCCAAGCATGGTGACTCACGCCTTTAATCCCAGAAAGCCAGCCTTTAATCCCAGGGAGTGAGGCAGAAAGCAGAAAGATATATAAGGCATGAGGACCAGAAACTAGAAGCATTTGGCTGGTTGAGCATTTGGCTGGTTAAGCTTCCAGGCTTTCAAGCAGCAGGTCAGCTGAGATTCATTCTGGATGAGGACTCAGAGGCATCCAGTCTGAGGAAACAGGACCAGCTGAGGATCTGGAGAGGTGAGGTAGCTGTGGCTTGTTCTGTCTCTCTGATCTTCCAGTGTTCACCCCAATAACTGGCTTCAGGTTTATTTTTATTAATAAGACCTGTTAAGATTCATGCTACAAACTGCCTCAAAAGAAATTATTTCAGCCTGACACACACCTTGAATCCCAGCACTCGGGAGGCAGAGGCAGGTGGACCTCTGTGAGTTCGAGGCCAGCCTGGTCTACAGAGCGAGATCCAAGACAGCCAGAGCTGTATAATACAGAAACCCTGTCTCAAAAAAACCAAAAAACCAAAAAAAAAAAAAAAAAAAAAAAAAAAAAAAAAAAAAAAGAAAGAAAGAAGGAAAGAAAAAGAAAAGAAAAGAAAAGAAATTAATTGTCCACAAAGGTCAGAAATATGAGGCTGATGCTTGAGAAAGAAGAATTTCTGACTTAGCAGATGCTCCTTAATGGTATATTTGTAGGGAAGAAGGAAGGGAGTGAATTCTCTGAGCCTTTACTGGGCATTGATGAGTTCAATGTAGACGGGTGGAAATCTATAAAAATAGGGTGCAGGACTGCAGAGAGCCTTGAATGTCTGTCTGGCTGAGGGCAAGAGTATGCAGAAATTAACATGTAAACACTGCTGAAATCTTTTTAGCAGAAACACCATGAACAAGGTGACATTGTCAGGAAGACACAAGGCTTGGTCTGTAGTATTTTATGCACAGTCGAATCGCAAGCATTCTGTGGACCTTACAGTGTCCCTTGGAGGGCTTCCATTTCTGGGGAAATGGCAGCTAGATAGCCTGAAAAAAAATACCCCTCAGATATATGGAGAGAATCTAGATGGCTCTGGAGGCCCATCTACTCTCCCCTTTCTTTGCTTAGCCAGAAGCTGCCTCAGCAGAGCTGTGTTAGCTCAACAGCAGAACGGCTTTGCCAGTGGCTGGAGTCCAGAAGGAAAGCTAGTTGTGTTAACCAGGAAGCTCCTATTGTCCTGGTTTAAATTTTCAATAAACTGCACCTTGCCCAAGCTGACTTACCTAGCGAAGGGAAGAGTGACATATTACGTTTACATTACAGGTGCTGGTGTCACGTGTATCTAAGGCCCTTTCAGGACAGAGAAAACAGAAGATGGGAGCAAAACAAGGAGAAACTCCTCAGAGGCTGTAAGCTGAGTGCTCCGGGCTGGGAGACGTCTGCAGTCAAGAATGAGTGTCCAGACGGGCGTGGTGGCTCACATTTTTTATTTTTTATTTTTATTTTTTTCGACAGGGTTTCTCTGTGCAACTCTGGCTGTCCTGGAGCTTGATCTGTAGACCAGGCTGGCCTTGAACCCATAGAGATCCATCTGCCTCTGTCTCCTGTGTGCTGGGATTAAAGATGCGTGCGCCACTACCACCACCTGTAAGTGCTGACGTGGCTCACATCTTAATTTCAGCACTCCAGAGGCAGAGGCAGGTAGATGTCTTCCAGTTCAAAGTTCATCATCGTCTACATAAAGAATTCTAGGACTACCATGGCTACCTAGATAGACCCTGTCCCAAAAAAACAAAACAAACAAACAAACAAAAAAATGAATATGTGAACTATTCACAAAGTGGGAGATACCTGATGGGGAAATGTGCAGATGTCAAGATCATGTACGTTATTTATCAAGTGGCACAATGCTTTTCAGTAAGCGGCCCTTGCATCAAACACACACACCATCAGAAATACAGCAAACGGGGGGTGTGCAAGGGCTTTCAACAAAGCCAGCTGAGAAACCGAAGAACAATTGCAGGCAGAGTCCAAAAGGTTTTACATAGATTCTGACTTGAGCAGGTAAGAAGGCCAAACAGATAATATATAAAATTTGAACATCAAATAGATGCTTTATGGTGTGTGGTGGTTTGAATAGCCTTTATATTTGAATACTTAGTCACCAGGGGGTGGCACTATTTGAAGGGATTAGAAGGATTAGGAGGTGTGGCCTCATTGGAAAAGGTGTGGCCTTGTTGGAGGAAGTGTGCCACTAGGGGTGGGCTATGAGGTTTCACAAGCCTGCGCCAGGCCCAGGCTCACTTTCTCTGCCTGTGAATCAGAATGTAGCTCTTAAGGACTGCTCCAGCACCATACCTGCTGCCATGCTCTCCACATGATGGTCATGGACTAAACCTCTGAAACTATGCAAACCCCCAGCTAAATGCTTTCTTTTATAAGAATTGTCATGGTGTCTCTTCACAGCAGTCGAACGGTGACTAAAACATGATATTAAGCCGGGCGGTGGTGGCGCACGCCTTTAATCCCAGCACTCGGGAGGCAGAGCCAGGCGGATCTCTGTGAGTTCGAGGCCAGCCTGGGCTACCGAGTGAGTTCCAGGAAAAGGCGCAAAGCTACACAGAGAAACCCTGTCTCGAAAAAACAAAACAAAACAAAACAAAACAAAACAAAAAAAAAACATGATATTAAAAACATTTTTCAGCCGGGCGGTGGTGGCGCACGCCTTTAATCCCAGCACTCGGGAGGCAGAGCCAGGCGGATCTCTGTGAGTTCGAGGCCAGCCTGGGCTACAGAGCGAAATCCAGGAAAGGCGCAAAGCTACACAGAGAAACCCTGTCTTGAAAAACAAAGAAAACAAACAAACAAGAAAAAAAAAATTTTTTTTTTCGGGGGCATGGTGGTATATATCTGTAATTCCAACATTAGAGAGCTAAGGCAGGAGCATTGCAAGTTTGAGACCACCCTGAGCTATATATAAGTTCAAGGCCAGCCTGGGCTACATAGGCAGACTCTCTCAGAAAGATTTATT